CAACAATAATGATATAAGTGTGTGTGATCTTTATATATGATGTTTATCGTACAATTATTTTGATATCGATGGAAACGCTAAATGTAACATATAGGCTATTGCTCTTACGGTATTCTCTGGTTTTCCTTATTTAATTTTAATTTATGATTGTCAAAAATATATTCAGAAGATTTTTGATAGCTAATGAGAAACAAAGAGCATTCTTTTAACTTTTTTTTCGGATGAAAAGAAACCAACCTATTTCGTGTGAAAAGATAATCCCATGCCCCTTTTGCACACTTTTACTTACATGCCATCATATACTGAACAAATATACACTAAAAACTGAGAGTTGCATGTTATTAATAGTTGTTAACCAAACACCGTAGCTTGTTTGTTACTACTGTATATTTGGTATATTAATTGAACCAATTAATTACAGACTCTACGATGAAAAAATCTTGTTTACGTAATTGTAACGTCATATTACTATGAAAATATGATTTTTGACTAACCAATTACGGAAGTGTCCTTGTGTGGTTTGAACTAGAGCTGAATTTCATTGGTCACAGTAAACCAGATTTTATTGGAAAATGGCTACTGAAAACTCCACCTACCTTTCGTTCCTAAACAAATCAAATTACTAGCCAAAGGGGAAATTAAATGCATTGCTGCCCTCTTAAGTTAGAGATTATTACTAAAGGTGGGTGAACTAGTTTTGGACTCTAGAACAAACCAAAGACCTCAAACTTTGATGAACTTGAAATTAGCACAAACCAATTCACTTCCAATTAATTATGCAAATTATTTCATTAGTATGTGCATTATAATGAACTTTGATTCAGATTATCTAAAAACAAAATATCTTGAAAACTAATAATACTACCCAACTAAATTATACATCACTTTAAAACCTAAGAGAGGAAAAGCATGAATCTAACATCACCAATGTCAGACTATCACAGAAGAAAAGAAAGACAAACAATGTATTTATTTTCAAAACTACAAATCAGCCCTCCAGTTACAGAACTGCACCCAGTGGCACAGCGGCATGTCTGCAGACTTACAATGCTAGAATCCGGGTTTCGATACCCGTGATGGGCAGAGCACAGATAGCCCATTGTGTAGCTTTGTGCTTAATTACAAACAAACAAGTTACAGAATTATTATAGTTAGGGTGCAACTTTTTTGACTCTGAAGTAGTATGTGGCTCAGTTCTGCTACTTTTGGGCATTGGCTTTTCAATGTGCTGGTTTCCATGGAACCTTCGATTTCTTCTTCTGACATTATTCTTATTTGCCATTGAAATTTGTTCAGTGTAGAATAAAAAGAAAATCCATCTGACTCTTTAAGCTTTTTGGCAGTAAATAAAACATTGGAGTGAGGGATTTAACTTGCAAAAGACTGTAATGAATTTATTATTATATATTTCTTTTAATATCAACGTTTGTTTAGATGAAGTTCATATTTAAGAACATGCATAGTTTATAATGTTAGATGTGTATTGCAAAACTCCCGCCTATTCTCCAAAGTTGTAGAAGATTCTCGAGAGTAAGAATATATGTATGTGTGTAAACGCTTAAATGTAGCTCAGTATTGTTACGTAAAACTGAAACTTCTAGAAAGCCTCCATACGCATATAAATATAACCAACTATTAGTTTCCTATAGTCAGTGTGCTATAAACTTCAGAAGCTATAACTGTGATTGTTATAACGCTTATCAATCGGAAAA